TGGCTCAGTGGTAGAGGGCTTGCATGGCATATGTGAAGCCGGGTTTGATCCCTGCACATTAAAACATCAACAACTACAACAAAAGAAGTCCTGGAATTGTTTATGAATATCACAATTTAAAGAAAAAAGAAACACTATGATATCTAGGCATTTAGCAGTATTTTTTTAAGATGTTTTTGTATATCTACTTTGCCTCTTTGAAGTCAAAGGAAGTTCAAGTGACTTCTACACATCTCCAAAGCTTTAAAAAATGCCAGGTTCTGTGGACTCRGTTATATTGGCTTCTTTTTGATATCCTTATTTTCAGCCAACAAAAAAGTCAGCTTGGATGTGGTTCAGTGGTAGAGCACTTGCCTACTATGTGTCAGGTCCTAGGTTCCAAAACTGTGAGGGAAAAAAAAAAAAAACTCAGCCCTGTTTTTTATTTTTTTAAGAAGTATACAGGATTTTTATTTTGCATGTAAAAGCAAAGCAGTAAAAAGAAAAGCCTAGTTGTCATAAGATTCCTGTTCAAAACTCTAACTTTGATGTTAACTACTTAATATTGCTTATTCACATTTTTCTCATCTGAAAATGGGGATAATGAATATTTATCTTACGGATTTCTATGACCACGACAGGAAACCTATTAGAGCATGTAACAAATGCCTGACATGTAGTCCGAATTTGATTAAAAAAAAAAAAGTGTGTATGTGGCGAGGGGGGTTAAAAAATTGTATTGAGGAACAAAGCTGAACATTTACATGTTTGTATATCTTGCCATAAGAGTGTTTTCCATTCATTCCAGGGCTGTTGAATTAGACTTTTTAATGTATATAGTAATGACTACAGTGGCAGAAACAGATTTAGTGGTCAGCATCTCAAGAGACAATGAAAAAATAGAATGTTTTCTCCAAGCAGTAGTGAAATTCCACTAGGGTAAGACAGTTATTGGGAGAGATTCTGTGGACAGGATTCAAACTATTTAAACAGAGATTGGATAGAATACCTTTAAAACACATTTCATCTCAGAAATCTCATTTTTTCTTTTTTTTCCCCCTTCAAGTGTTATGAATTCATATCTAACCAACCAATCATGTTTTCAGGCTTCAAAGATTAGCCTATTATAATAACATCATCTTTCCTCCTCCACCCCTCCTGCTGACAGGATCTGTGTTATGAATTCCGGAGCAAGCAGAAAGATGRAAAGCTTGTCTGCACCAGAGAAAATAACCCTGTTCGAGGCCCAGATGGCAAGATGCATGCCAACAAGTGTGCCATGTGTCTGAGCGTCTTGTAAGTGAAGAGGCTTATTTTTCTGTGTAATTGTTATATTATGCCTATTACTTTAAAACCTAAGAGCCCTTGGCTTCACACATTAAAGATAAATAGATATTCAATTCTGAAGAGAACAGTTAGTTTCCAAAACACTAAGATTTTCTTTTTTTAATTTCAATGATAAGAAGCATAATCCTATGTGAAGTCCCTGTGGTAGGAAAATAGCTACAGTCTAATGACAAAATCCATGGCCTTTCAAGAGGGGRTTTAGTAAGTAATCTGGGACAAGCCAGCTCACTTTGCAGAGCCTCAGTCTCTTCTCTCTGTGAGTGAAATACAACGAATACCCAATACAGTTGTTGTGGGGATTCAAAGTGAGAACATTTTTTTAAAATGTTTCTAAACTTCAAATCACTATCACTATGTAAAGAACAATCTCAATGCAGAGTTTAGATATAATACACCTGGAAAGATGAGAGTGGGAAGTATTCTATTAAGAGAAAATAAAGTAATGGCCTTTTAGGATCCTGTCATTCTTGATGACAGTATCATAAGTGAAACAATGAAACTTGAGTGCATTGATTGCCATAGATATGATATGAAAACTCCAACCCCCAGAACAGACTAGGCATTTTTTCAGTTTGAGAAAATAGTGTTAGATTTGCTAATGTTTAGAATTCGAAAGATTAGCCATCCTGGTGGTGCATGCCTATAATCTTAGTGACTCGGGAGGCTGAGGCAGGACGATCACAAGTTCGAGATCAGTTTGCGAAACTCAGTGAGACACTAAGCAACTTAATGAGACCCTGTCTCAAAATAAAAATTGAAAACAATGGGTGACATGGCTCAGTGGTTGAGTGCCCTTAGATTCAATTTTAAGTACCCCCCAAAAAAAAGAATTGCCTAAAGACAATTCATTAACAAGCCTTAAAATACACACACACACACACACACACACACACACACACACACATCCTATTTTTCTTTTTCCTTCTGCAGTGAGCGAGAAGCCAGTGAAAGAAAAAATGATAAAGAGTCAAGTTCCAAGCCTTCAAACAAGCCTTCAAATGATGCAAAGGTTGTTTCTTAAAAGATAACAAAATAACTCTTCCACCTTTCACCTTTAGAATCTTGCCTTCTTTTGCAGTCTTGGGATAACAAAGATACTAATATTTTGTGTAAAAGATCATTGATTTTGCCACTGTTATCACTCTGGGGTAATAATGAGATTTTGGGGGTCTGATGCTTTTCTTGATTTTGTGGATAATTTTCCTAGAGCATGTGTCAATTATTGCTTTAGTCTTTCTGCTTTAAGAGAAATGAAGATTCCAGTAGTTCGTAGTCATTGGTTTTAATAATACAGGCAAGTTAAACTAATCTTAAGTCTTCTGGTTAGTTTCTCTCCTTGATGTCTTTTTTTCTGTTTTCTCCAGATGATTTTCTCAGCATCAACGAATCAATAGTGCATACACCATGCTGCCTTTTCTATTTTGCTTTTCAAGACTGCAAAGAAGAACCTCCATTCAGTCCTTTAACAGTGATAATCACATTTATAGAGTTGCATTCTGGTGGGATTCTCCTGGAGCTAACAGCACACCTAATGTGGAAATGGGGAACAGTGGATGAAAGGGAAAGAACAAGAAGGAGGGCGTATCAAGTATTGTTTTATGTTTCTCTACATTTCCAGGACCAGTGCAGAGAGGTTCAGAATGAAGCAGAGGATGCAAAGTTTAGACAGTCTGGGAGTACCTTGGCCTCTGTTGCCGGGATCAGAGCAGTGAGTCTGAGCCCAGAGCCAGCAGAGGACTACCTAAAGCCACCTTTGCTTCCTAAAACCACCTAGCAAAAAAAGGAAAAGGCCCTGTTCACCTCCCCCTCTCTCATCTTCCAGGATGAGTGCAGTGAGTTTCGGAAACACTTGAGGAATGGAGAGCTCATCTGTACCCGAGAGCATGACCCCGTCCGTGGCGATGATGGAAAGTTCTACAGAAACAAGTGCCACAAGTGCAGAGCTGTCTTGTGAGTAAGAAGATTCCGCTTTGGCTGTAGAAGCAGGGGAGCTGCATTTTTAGAAACAGTTCATTGAATAACCGTGTGTGCTCATGGAGCCACGGAGTCCTTAAAATAAGTCTTTAGAATCCTTGTCCTTAACGTGAGAACACCCAGCCTGGTAGAAAGAGTAGAAGGAGTGGTTGAACTTGCTGACAGGAAACCCAGGTGTAAGTTCTTACCATGATACTTGCTGTGCCACTAACATTTTTTCCTCCTGTTTTCAGCATCATAGTTAAAAGGGATCATTCCAAATCTTTGTTCTACAACTCTATTGGATTCAGCAGAGAAGTCTTTTTAAAAGCAGATTTTTATACTTAAAAATTTATTAAATCAAAATTTCTAGAGCTAAAGAATTTGTGTTTTAGAAAGGGTTTCAAAATTGTTTTAATAATCAAACAAATTTTGAGACCAATGTTCAAGTTGATGATGGTGACAATCAATAGTTATGAAAAACACTAAGATAAGAATAACAATATTTATTTAACTTTCACAGAGTATGTTTTTTGAAGTAGGAACTACCAACACTGTACTCTCTATATTCTAGGAAATTGAGACTCAAAGACTCTAGGCCACTTGTCTAAGGTCACACATCTATGAAGTGATAAGAGCTCTACACCAACTCCCTGTTGCATACTTTTCTAGATGTTTTTCCTGGTTGCTCTCTAATGTTCTTGGGTTCTATTATATTTTACCAAGATTGCCCAACTTCCCACTAGACATCCCATTCACATTCCCCTTGTGATTATTACTTTAAATAATAATAATGCTGCTGCTGCTGATGATAATAATAATAATAATAATAATAATAATAATAATAATAATATTTTGTTCCCTTGCTCAGTCAAAAAGAAATGTTTGAAAGAGTAAAACTTCGTAAAATGTCATTCCACATTAGAGCTTCCGAAGAGGAAAACAGCCCAGGTTCGCCCAGTTCTTCTCTGGTAAGAATGACTATTTTGAAAACCTATTCATGAATTTAATTCACTTGCATTTTCACGACAGCTGCTCCTTTTGCATAATTCCCATTTGCTAGCAGGGTCTGGGGAGGCTGATTGGGTGTACCCTGAGAGCTTTGCTTAGAGGACTAGATGCAGTTCATGCTTGGTGACATCTCTGGGATTACTCATCAGTGCATCTTTCTGCTCTTTGAGATTATTAGCCCTGATTGCATTGGGAACATTCTGAAATTTTAAGAAGTGGTTGAGACTAACTCAATGTGTGGTTAAATATGTAGTCAGATGCCTTAATTTTCTAATATCACTCAGCTTACACTCATTTGCCTCCTCCAGCCCAGTCCCTTCCTAATAGCCAAGAACACACAGCAAATCATTCTGGAAAGATATTACAGGGAGGCAAGGGCAGAAGCCAGATAATCCATGAGAGACTGCAGTAATTCATGAAAAAGTTATGCTGGCTTTTACCACCATGGAGGGTAGAGCTCCTCAGAGGTGGGGGATTCTGGCTCCACTTTAAAAGTGGAGTCAAGAGAATTTGTTCAGAGTCAATGTACTAAGAAAAGAAGCATCCTGCCTTTGTCACTTCTGTCTTTTGCTTCTTTTGTGGGGCTTATCCTGATACCAATCATTGCAGCTACAGTAATCTGAAAATACAACGGACTTAACTAGTTCAGTCCAGATTTGCCAAGATTCCTAGAAGTTCCTGTCTGAAATCTCCCTGAATATTTATATTAATATGGATCTCACTACAGTCTAAAGCAGTTTATTTAGATATTTGAATTATTTATCAGAACAAAAGAACAAGTAGTTGCTGCCCAAATCCCTTAGAGTATCAACTGTTATAATACCATTGCATTTTTAATTTCTTCTTTGTGTTTGTTTCAGAGTATAGTTTCCAATAAATTTATTAATTTGTTCTAAGTTGTCAATTTCATTGGCATATAGTTATTCACAATATTTCCTTGTTATCCTTTTAATATCTATAGTTGATATCTTTTTATTTTTAAGAATGGTGATGTGTATTTTTCTGCCTTTTTAATTGACTTCACAGGTAGATATCACTCTATTAATCAATCTATTAATCTCTTCTAGAAGCTAGTTTTTGGCTTTGTTCTCTTTATTTCATCACTTTCTCCTTTTTTTCCTTCTGGTTTCTTTGAACTTAATTTGCCCATCATCTGCTGGATTCTTGAGATAGTAATTTTCATAATTGATTTTAAAACTTTCTTATTTTTCAATCTGTATAAATTTTAAATTTCTCTCAAACCACTGCTTAAATTGCTAAGATTGGATAGTATATATATATATATATATATATATATATATATATATATATATATATATAATACATATTAAATATTTATTATTTTTAGGTGTAGATGGACACAACACAATGCCTTTATTTTTATGTGGTGCTGAGGATGGAACCCAGGTCCCACCCATGCTAGGGGAGTGCTCTACTGCTGAGCCACAATCCCAGCCCCTGGATAGTTTATATTTTTGCTGTCCTTTACTCTAAATCATTTCTAAATTGTATCATGACTTTCAGTCATGAGTGATTTAAGACTCATTCTTGTACTTTAAACCTGCCAATTCCCTYGTACTTAAAGTATATTTCTTATAAATGATAGTAGGACCTTCATGTTCTTCCTGCTTGACATTTCTGTCTTGTAACATTTATAATCACCATCAAATTTGTCTTCCGTCATCCTATTTGTTTTCAAATCTGTTCACCCTCCTTTAATTCTTTTTCTTTTGGTCTTATTTTTTTTCTGAATAATCAATTTATTTTTGTTGTTTTTGCTATCACATTAAGTATTGTTCAACTCATACTTCCAAAAGACTATAAAAACATGTTTCTTCTATGTTGAAAATACAATGATTACCATGGAAAATGTACTGATAACTAACATTGACTGAGCTTTTGGAATGCAATAGACTCTGTATTACGCATGCATTCAAATACATTACTTGATATAATTCCAAAATCAATAATGTAAGAGCTACTATTATTGTTATTCAATGAGGAAATTAAGGCTCAAAAAATCTAGATAAATTGCTTCTCTACTTAGTGGCAGAGCTAGGTCTCAAAAACCCATGCAATTAACTAGTATTTAGCTATGAGTTTTTTTTCCTTCTAGGATGTACATTAACAGCACCTTCCTTTAAAAAGTGGATGTTATTTCTTGTGTGATTAACATCCTAATTTTCTTCCTAGGCATGCACAGCTTACCATGCCTGGTACTTCATGGGATTTATGCTCTTATTGTTTTGTTCTCCTTGGTTCCTTTGTTTAGAAAGTYGTCTTTTATACTTAAAAGAAGCCAAATCCAGGAGGTTAAGTCTGTCTAATATGGTGTGAAATAAATATGTAGTTTGTATCACTGTCCTRTTCCTAATCCTTTACCCAGATGTGATTAAGGAAACCAGGATGTGCTCCCAAACCCGTCCTTTTCTTTGAATGCTGTTAAGTAAGTCTGCTTTATGCTTTGTTTGTTCAGGATTCCGAGATGTGCAAACAGTACCGAGTGCTGCCAAGGATGGGTTTTCTTTGCCCAAAGGATTTACAGCCTGTCTGTGGTGATGATGGACAAACATATAACAACCCTTGTATGCTCTGTCATGAAAACCTGTAAGTAAGCAGGATGCACCTCAAAACTCCCAGAGCAGCCCAGCAATAGTGTTGACCTACACTAGTGTACTGATATCATATCATGTTGGGGTGTGTGTGTGTGTGTGTGTGTGTGTGTGTGTGGTGCTGGGGAATAGAACTCAGGGCCTTGTGCAAGCAACTGAGCTATATCTCCAGCCCTGTTGGGGAATATTTTAGTCATTTATAAATCATAACAGTTAAAAAATTCAAAATTCCACATCTTTCTTATATGTAATAGAAAGGATTCCCTACTGCTATTTCTTTGATAAAACTGCTTACGTATATTGCTATATTCTTTACTGAGTAGAAGAGAACACAAACAGGGGTTTGGCTGCAGCCATTACAGAGCTTCTCTATAAGCTCATGTATACTCATGGGAGTATGGACATCATTCGTCCTGCACATGGCTAAGGAAAGTGTGGAGAACCACTGCTGTGTAGAGTCAGCCTCACCTATGATGTCTAAACAAGTCCTATGGCTATAAGAGAGTCACTGACTTCTCACCTTCTGTGAACCTTCTTATTGAAGGAAGTGGTTCCATACAAAAGACAGTGCAAAACATGCCAGGTGTCATGCTCACCTGTAATCCCAGTGGCTCAGGAGGCTGAGGCAGGAGGATCTCAAGTTCAAGGCCAGCCTCAACAACTTAGGGAGGACCAAAGAAGCTTAGTGAGATCCTGTCTCAAAATATAAATAAATAAATAAATAAATAAATAAATAAATAAATAAAAGGGCTGGAATGTGGTTAAATGCCCCTGGGTTCAATTACCAGAACCAAAAAAAAAAAAAAAAAAAGAATCCCAGAGCAAAGGGCATACTGATGTCTAGGTTAATTCTAATTTATTACTGTCCGTGTAATCCAAATTGCCTCATCATTCCTTTGATATCTTCATTAAAAAAGTGGAGACAGTTCTCTAAGCAGCCGACTCCATAGGTTATTTAGAGGAACTATTAGATATGAAAATATTTTTATTTTAAGGGATCTATTTTATTGCTTTTACTATTGGTTTTAACTTTGCTCCAGTTTTCAATGAAATTATGGTGACGGAGTTTGGCTTTTCCATCCCACGCCACCCTAGACTTACACTGCAGTTCAATTACTACTCAGGCCTTCTTTCAACACTGCAAACAAGGTCCAGGATATAAGGAAGAAGCTCCTTGATATCCTCATTTTCAAACCTAGAAAATATCTGAATTGGCATTTATTCTATTTTGAATAAAATAACTCATAGAAGAAAAAAAACATCCCCAGGTCACATACTTAAAAACATAAATTATGCATATAAGTGCTTATGTGTTCTAGGAACTATATGTAAGTATGTAAGGTATGGTAGATAGAATACCTTCACATTCAGTCAAGGAGTCCCTATAACCTGCTATGGAGGGGTATTGGCATCTTTGTTCAGAGACATTTAGAGAGTTCAGGTRATTCATTAAAAGTCACAAAGCCAGGAAATACATTAGACAACATCTTAGCCTTGTTGATTTGGGTCTAAATAGTTTTTTTTAATTATTTATTCACTGWACTCCACTTATATCCAAAGCAGTAGCTCAATAAAACTTTGTGGAAGCAAGGATTCCTTTGGTAATATAAAAAAGTTACTGCTTTTAAGAATAGAAAAATAATGATGTAACATGAGAGACTTGTATGCATAACATCTTATGGGTGACTTATAAACCATTTATGAACCCTACAGAATTTAAAGTTAATAAGCCTTGTTTAAGCAGTGAATATTATYGTCTAGGAGATAAGTTGTTGTGTATACTGTACACCCAGTCCAGAAATCCTCCAATTCCTTTTCATTACAAGTATMAGGAATTAAATCATCTATATAATTTTATCAAATTTTGTATTAACTGTATAGGCCCATAAAAAYTGATCCTCTATTCAAGGGAGATTTAGAGTCAGAAACTTACATGATGAAAATATTAATAAAGCATGCCTCAGGATGTATTGTTTGGCAAAAGAATCTGGGAATATGTATTATAGAGAAGAGAAACTCAGGTTATCCCAGACAAGAGGGGCCATTTTTTTTCAATGATGTTAGAGAAGTTGTAGGGGAGAAATTTCAACATAAATTCTATTCAAAGACAAAGTGCCCTTTCTTGTTAGACAACCAGTTTCCAACACCAGAGGCAAACAAGTCCATGTTTGATTCATAATATTTCTTGAGTGATAGGCACTATAATTCCTACTCTATAAGATTATTTCAAATGATGAGGTACAGACTGTTTGATGGTGTCTTGTTATATTTTCCGTGGCCCCAAGTCATATTACATAAATTTAATATAGTCAGCCTTCTCTCTGGGATCTGATATTCCCATCTACAAAATCATGACCTGTGGAGTAGATGATGTCCAACATTCTGAAATTCTATGAGTATTAGTGGATGAAATGTGACAGTATAGGTTCAGGGCTAGAGGATATCTGGAGCAAGAGAGACTGAACCTAGAGGATGAACCCTGGAGAATGGTTGCATTTTGATCCCAGGCCCTTCTAACTCCAGTTTTTGATGTTCAGTGTTACTTAACTTTGATCCTTATTTATATATCATGTAGGATTCTTGAATCTTCCTCTGTTCTGTTTTAGGATGCGTCAAATGAATATACACATACGTAGTGAAGGGAAGTGTGAGGAAAGCAGCATCCCAGAAACCCCTGTGGACGCACAGACATCTGTGAGTACCCGGGACTTCCTGCTCAGGGTGTTAGAAGCAGCTGGTCTGCCTCTGTCCTCTTGCTCTGGGTTGGAAATTTCTTAGGCCAGAGAAGTGACACTAGGTCTGGTGACCCCAGAATTGGTCATATTTTTACTGTGAAGATAATTAAGTAATGATTGAAATATGTAGGAATAATAACACCAGTTTACATTTTAGACTCATTACTTGACTCGTTAATAGATTTTTATGAGCAATGTCTCCAATCTAACATTACGTTTTGCAGGGTAATTTTTATTCTCTRTAATCCACATGAAAAAGATGAAGCAGAGAATAGGGGTAGGGTCAGAGCTGGATTGCAGCCATTTCTATGTAATGCTCATATCCTCTCATATTACACTGCATTTAATTTTCCCAAGCCTTGAACATTGACCCATTTCATTTAAATCTCTGCAAGGATATTTTAACACATATAACTGTCTTTGATAGTCTCCCTGGTAATTTTATTTGAGAAGTTTCTTCCCCAGGAAAAATGATTTATAACCTGGAAAAAAATTTCAAATAAGAGAAAACACTTAGTTAGATGATAAATATGGGCACAAATGAAAGTTTTTAATGTTTTTCATGCATGATACCTTTGGTGAATCACATAAATACGGTAAGCCAAAGATCTCAATGAACTATTGAAAATAATCACTAAGGACTGACTTTAAAACACATGGAACAGCATCTAAAACACAAATAACAACTTTTATTATGATGATCACTGTCATTATTATACCTAAGACCAGAGTATAAATTTAGAGATAGTCCCAAGTATAAATTTAGAAAAAGACCCTGGCATARTGCTTAGTTAATATAAATAAATAAATAAATAACTTGACTAATTACATTTTAATGTGACTATACTTAATATCTGCATCAAACAAAATTAAAATATCTTAATAAACTATATTTAACAACTTTATTATTTTTCAATGGACTTCATGCCACTGCCACAAAAAGCTTTAGCAATAATGGAATTAAAAATATTCTGCTAGATTTGAAAGTAACACTAAATGAGTCCTTATTGCCTTGATGTGGGAAATTGGGAATACTAGGAGTGTGATCAGGTATTTCTGGTCTCACAATAGCAGTGGGAAGGCAGAGTAGAGTAGAACAAGAACCAGGAAACCTCTATTTCTTTCTCATGTAACTTGACAGGCAATTATCTATGTTGGATCTTTAGACATCCATAAAAGACAAGGCTAGTTCCTATGTTACTTTCTAATCTATTCCATATATAAATTCYTGATCATATTTTATTGACAGAATATACTGTTCTCCTTCCTCACAAACATACCTCTTTGCATATATCTTAGAAAGAAGAGGTGGAAATAATCTTTATTCCAGCCAGATAGACCACACCTCCCTGTAACAAGCATCCTGTGTGGGTGACTTGACAAAAACTACTTCAGGAGGAACTTGCCTTAAGGTTACACTTATAARATATATATWTTTTTTCAAATAAAGAAGAATCTTGCCAGGGGGTCGGCACCCAGGGCTTTGGAGGGGAGTTGTTTCCTTTAATTTCTGGGTATTTCCTTTCCACTAGAGTTCCACAGCTGGTGTTGTTAATGACAGGAAAATTTTTATAGTTTTCTTTGGTGAAACAAATTTCTGTACCAGAAGGTTCCTGGATGTGGGTGCAGTTTCATCTCCCTCTGTGTGGTTTAGAGTGAACTTGGGTACAGGTGGTACAGATGGGCATGACTCAGTATTGCACTGCTGGTTATTATGGTGGTATATTCTGGGTTAGATATAGGTTAGAACCTATTGCCTGAGCTTTACTGCTGGGTGGAAGATCCTCCAAGAGAGTCTGGCATCCCAAGAATGAAATGATGCCARGCAGTGGCAACTTCCTCAAAAAGTAGGTTGAGGATCCTGAAACTCATACATTTGCTTACTATCTAAGTTGTGCTTTCTATTATACAGAAACTACTGAGATTTATGTAGCTCTTTAGAGTTGCAAATACATTTTCCCTTTTGCATCTTCATACTATTCTTATGATTAGAGCAGGAATTGTCACCTTCCCYGTCTTATAGAAAACCAACCTGGGAGAAACCCTGCCATTTATCCAAGTTACTCAGTGCAAATCTTGAGTCAAGTATGTGTCTTCTGATTTCATAATCCATTCCCTGTCATGATTCCTTAGTCATCAGGATATTCTGAAAAACAGTCACTGTAAAGAAGATCTTATTTCAGATTTGCTATATCAGGCAATAGGTTCCAACCTCAGGGAATATACAGCCATGGTAGTCATCATGTTGGACCATGACCCATCTATGGCAGCTGGGCCCAAATAGTTCCCACATAAAGGAAATTACAAATATAATTTTGTGAGATGAATAAATAACTATTCTCAATGTTATGACATATTATCAAAGATTTGACAAGACCACAGCTTGTCCCTTTCAAACCAAAGGAAATCTTGTTAAGCTGATGTGTAGGTACTGAAATAAATAGTTAAGTTTGGAATGACTTAACTGCTCTTGCCATGATGGTAGTAGCTGATGACATGCAGTTACCAAGAAGGACAGTCTTAGGCCTTCACYCCCTTTTAATTTTTTTTWAAATTTTGATTAATGTTTTATTTTTTAATTTTTATTGTTGGTTGTTCAAAACATTACATAGTTCTTGRTATATCATATTTCACACTTTGATTCAAGTGGGTTATGAACTCCCATTTTTACCCTGTATACAGATTGCAGAATCACATCAGTTACACATCCACTGATTTACATATTGCCATACTAGTGTCTGTTGTATTCTGCTGCCTTTCCTATCCTCTACTAATTTTGAGTTCAACAGTGTTTGAAAACAGGTAAGCCAGGAAAGGAGTATAGCTGATTCTATTCTAAAGGTGCAAAACAAACTGTAATAGAAGAGCATTAATATCACAGGCATTGGATTCAACATGACCTAATCTGAGAATTTAGTAAGCCACTAAGATCTGAAGCCCAATTTCCTCATCTATGAAATTGGTGTTAATGACACCTATCTTTTTTATCATCACGAAGGTCACATGTAATCAAGAGCAGAGTTAAGCTATATTCATTTCTGTATTATCTACCTCAACAGGAGTTCAAACATGCTAGGAGCTCAAACAATATTCACAGGAAAACACTGGATAAAATGTGAAAAGAACTGTAAATTGTTAATTCTTAGCAGAGTACAGGAATCTCTGATTAAAGTACAGTTGATTGTCCACCTCAGTTCTCTGCATTGTACCTGACTGCTATCATCTGACCTTCCCATCTTCTCTTCCAGGACACATGATTCAAGGATTGGTGGATGCAATGAGGGAAAAAATATGCCCTAAATTCTGAACGTCCTACCTTCGTCATCTGTATATATAAAGAATGCTTCAGAGTTCTTCTTATTTACTATAGAAAACAATGCAGAGCTGTTGGGACTGGACCCACTGATTTTCAGTCTTTTTCCATCTCTTTCCTCCTAGACACTGTGGTCTTAGAGCACACAGAAATCTCCACCTGGTCTGTGCTCTGAAAATGGCCTGATCACAGTGTTGTCTGTCCAACTGCCTGTATAATAAAAGTAGACTCCGCAGAACACCCTTTGGGGGATTTCTTTGTCACTGCCTAAGATAAAAGGAAMCTTTTTTTATTTTTTACAGAAGCTGGATAAACTCTACCCTTTTGTCTTGCTAATAAACTCACTGGTAGACAGACTACTCATTTTCTTTATGTTCAAGTTGCTGTCATAGTCGGGAAGGAGTGCCTAGGTAGGAGAGAAGGCAGTGTGGACCCCTATGCATCCAGCAGTATATAAAGCTGCCTAYTACAATACCAGTTCTCCTATTTGGCTCCTGCATTTTCATGAAGAGCATAAGTATCTCTCAGTTATGTAAAGCCATCCAGTGAACTAGCGAACTAATGAATAATTTCTCATACCCAGCCATGTTACCTCTTAACAATTCCATATATGGGTGCTTTGTACCCATAATCTGGGAAAGACTAAGGAAATGATTACCCATATGTGCAAGTCCCCAGAGTAGCAATCTCCAATAAAACAGTACAAGCCACAGCCATGCTTTCAAATTTTTTAGAGCTACAAAAGAAATGAATAAATTTAATTTTAAATAATGTATTTTATGTAGTCCCATATACCAAAGCTCTTAATGTAACTAACATAAACTCTTTAACTTGCAAAGTCTTTGGTATAGGTGTGTATTTGACGCATTTAGTACATCTCTATTTGGACCAACCACAGTCCAAGGGCTGAAGCTAGCAGGCATGGGAAATGAGGAAAGGAGGAACCAAGCATTAGGTATTGGTGGAATGAAATGATGTGTGGACTCCTGCCTCTGTGCTGAAACTCATTCTCAGAATCTGTTTCATGGTCTACCTCTGGGTCTGGTTCACCTGAAGATTCTGGGCTGGTGCTGAACACATTCCAGAGGAAGAACACTTGAGAGAACCCTTCATGGTCCAAAGGCATTCTCAGCCTCCAAACTGTGCCTGGTGTTACTRACCTATTTGGATTTGAAGAGTTAATTTTGTATATTTTCCTTTGCTCTTTTAAAAAGTGAAGCCTCCATCCACTAGGCAAATTATAACAGGATTTTGTGATCTTTATCTTTTGTAATTGAATGAAAATCCATCAATCCCTATGTTGGTTTATTTTTTCCCTATGGACTATTAATCATTTTTCAAGTATGAAAAATATGCGGTTATTTCAGAAAAAAAAATGAGCATACAATGTTGGAACTGTTTTCTTTCACAATTCCAAGATTTGGTTTAAAGATTCTATGGCATAGGAGGCTGCATCCCCTTCCTGTTCATATCTAGGAAATCTAGGAACTCTTCATGAGGAGCTGATGTTTTATCATGTCATTTCATATGCTATTGATATCTAAACAAGAAACCCTTTACATTTCTCTCATTCTTCTTATGTAATATGTACAAAACTTTAATATTCTGCCCTCAAGAATTAACCAACCCCGGGCAATCATCCTGGGTCCCCATGAAAGTGTGGCTTAGAAATAGAATGGAGTGGAGTCAGTGGGGTCTGGAATAGAATGAGACATAGGGAGGGCAGAGTT